TATTATTACTGATCAGCGTTTGCCAATACTGCCGTTTGTGTTGTTCTAGCGTTTCTGTCAATGGCCCATAAATTGGGTTGTATGCCCCTGATGAAACTAATCTTCACACGGTTTCGGTCTCATAAGCTGGACGGCTGAGTGCATGGTTGTCTGCTCTTGCCAGGCGTCTTAGATTATTATCCAGTATCATTCCGATGCCAAAGTCTTCAGTAGGTTGGTGCTTGGTGAAGGTTTCTGAGAATGGTATTTTCTCACCTATTTTTTCTTGTTGTTGTGTGGATAGGGTAAGAAGAGCTACAAAAGCCTGAAATACAAGGAAAGATATAAATAATGGGGGGATAGACCCACTGGCCTCTAACAAGTATGTTATAGAAGGCGGCTAACTAGCTGTACTTCCTTCAAAGTCGGAGCGCATCTGCCTGAGTGGCAAGGAACCAGATGTCTGCATACAATAAAGCCAGATCTGTCAAACTGGTGCAACTCAGGTCCTGGAATAAAGCCAGTCTAGAAATGGATGAACAACCAGACTTTCCGCCAGACTTGACAGCTGACGAACGGGAACAAACCTAGAGCAATCCAAACCACCAATAAGAGCTCTTTTAACTCAGTCCAGAAATAATGGGGGGGGGGGGGGGGGGGGGGGGTAAAAATTGCAGCGACCTTTACTGAGCACAAACATCTTAGGAATTATTTACATCTGTCAAAAAGTATACACATATCTTCAAATAATGTATGCATCCGCAACAACAACATGCACATGTATCAGAAAACTCTTAAGTCAGTGTGGGTGTCCACTGTTCCGCAGTTCACATGATGACACCACCAGCCAGGCCACTCACACTGTCCACCATCACAGCAACAAAGAGAAGGCAGAACACATCCTGCATGCGCTGAGTCTGACCATTCTATCTCTGTTTATGATCGAGGTGAGTTTGTCCATGTAGCGGATGGTGTTTATGATTGAAGTGAGTTTGTTCATGTGAATGATGGTTCTGTCTCTGTTTATGATTAAGGTGAGTTTGTACATGTGTCTGATGGTTCTGTCACTGTTTATGATTAAGGTGAGTTTGTACATTTGTCTGATAGTTCTGTCTCTGTTTATAATCGAGTTGAGTTTGTCCATGTGTCAGATGGTTCTCTCTTTGTTTATGATTGAGGTGAGTTTGTACATTTGTCTGATAGTTCTGTCTCTGTTTATCATCGAGTTGAGTTTGTCCATGTGTCAGATGGTTCTGTCTTTGTTTATGATTGAGGTGAGTTTGTACATGTGTCTGATGGTTCTGTCTCTGTTTATCATCGAGTTGAGTTTGTCCATGTGTCAGATGGTTCTGTCTTTGTTTATGATTGAGGTGAGTTTGTACACATGTCTGGCGGTTGTGTCTGTGCTCTTGATCAAGATAAATTTGTATGTCTTGTGTCTAACCATTCTGTCTCTGTGTTTGATTGAAATGATTCTGTCAATGTGGCTGATGGTGTTTATGATAGAGGTGAGTTTGTCCATGTGTTTGATGGTTCTATCTCTGTTTATGATTGAGGAGATTTTGCCTATGTGGCCGATGATTCCGTCTCTGTTTATGATTGAGGTGAGTTTGTATATATGTCTAATGGTTCTGTCTCTGTTTATGATTGAGGTGAGTTTTAAATGTATTTTGTCTGACTTTATCACTGTTTATTATTGAGTTAAGCATATCTAATGTCTGATGATTCTGTTTATGTTTGTGATTTAGTTCAACATATGTAAGTGTTTACAATTCTGTCTTTATTTATGACTAAGGTTAGCAAATAAAAGTCTTGTATCTGAAATTTCTATCTTTATCATGTCTTGTTTTTTACGATTTAGTTATTTATGATATGTATGCTGATATGTGACTGTATGTTGTTATCATTAAAACATACTGGAGACAGAAGTGGGGCCATGCGATTTTTTTAGTCACTGACCGCATAGAAATTAATTAATCAAAATATTTTTCAAATTCTATCAGAATTGGAATTCATTACCTTCTACTAAAGATAAGGACTCGTATGAGAAGTCCCAAATGCCGTGAAATCAGTCCGTGGCTCGATCGATCTGTTAGTCGTCTCATTGATGCTTCCTATCAGATTGAAAATCTCACTAGAGATGGCAGACCAACATGTAAGATCCAAGGTATTCTGTTCATCTTTTAAAGAAGTTATAATTGGGACACCCATAACGGTTCCACCAGCAAAATTTATTTTGCAGTCCTGTGCGGGCAAGGGCGACATCCTCCCTTGATCAGTTCAACTCATTTATCTGGTTCCCTAAGCGAGCCAAACCACAAGTATTCACCAGAAAATTGTATGAGCTCAGGCAAAGACTTGATGCTTCAACCTTGGCAGTTTTGTAGAGCCAGCCTAGATTTTGCGTGTTCCTGCTGTCTCACTTTACCCATGAAGCATGACACATTTTATAAATCTACTCCCGCAGGTATCCCTGAAGATTTATGTTGAAGGCAGACATCTACTGCGACAGAAAGCTGAGGTTAGTTGTACTTGTCTGTCTTAGTTCTACATGTCTGTCTTAGTGGTACCTGTGTGTCTTAGTTGTAAATGTATGCCACAGCAGATGTAAGTTTTATTTGTCTGTCTTAGTTGTCCATGTCTGCCTTAACAGAGTTTAGTTATTCATGTTTGACTTAGCAGATTTCATTGTACCTGTTTGTTGCACCTGTCTGTGCTACACAGAGCTGTGTCTTGTATAGACCATGTGTTACTATTGTTTAGTGTAACTTCTCCACGGCCGAGGTGTTTCAGTGTTTGCCTTGCTGACTGAAGGTTATGGGCTTTCTTTTTGACTCCGCTAAGGTTCGGGAAGGTGGGGGGGGGGCAGATGTTAAGGACATCGATGTGAGTTGTCCCTGGAACTACAATGTTGGCGGTTTGTTGGTGATTAGCTTTGCTGTTGACTAGCCACTCTCCGAATAGAGACCGGAATTTGAGGTAAGGGAACCGTAGTAGCTTAGTGGGTAGCTAATCACCTCCTGGCTCAAACATCTTTGGTTCAAATCCCCATCGAAACGAATCTCTTTTTTTCTTTCTTCAAAACTAACATTGGCTCTTAGGTCGACACAGTATAGAATGGGTACTAATAAAAGTTGTATTAAGTAAAGGTGGCCACATCACTTACCAAGTGTCTATTGGTCTGTTAAAAAATTAGTATTTAGCATCACAGTTCCAAAACGTCCGTGGCTCAAAGTGGCTCCTTTACTCCATCCACATTTTACATATTGGATACAATTCCAATTATTGATGTAGATCTTCTTGGCTTTCAACATCCTTTAATTCTTGTTAATGAAATTCGTAAATTTACCAATGGAAAATCTTTAGTGCAACCTAGCATATAACACCACAACATCTATCATGAAAATGGAGGTGGAGGTGACATGTCAGTGGCTCTACGTCTGTGACATGTCAGTGGCTTTACGTCTGTGACCTGTCGGTGGTTCTACGACTGTGACTTATCGGTATCTTCACGTCCGTGGCATGAGTGTTTTGTAATTCTTGTTTTGTGTATATTTGGCCACCTGGTGTGTTAGGTAATATCTGCCTGACTTTCAGGAATATCCGTCTAGAGTGAAAGAGGTTTTTAACAGTTGAGCACAAACTCCCAAACTTCCTTCAAGCAGACTAGTCGTAATGCCGGCGATAAAGAGGCTACCTGGCTTTGGCATTCATCCACCGACTGTAACTCGAACATAGCAAGATCTATCCCTGTCCCTAACGAAACATCTAGCTTTAATTTCAGAAGTTTACATGCAGTCATTATTTAGACTTAATGCATGTTGTGTGCTGTGTTTTGTTAATTTATTGCTCTGGTTATTGCTCCATGTTGTAATGTAGCGGCTGCATTAACAGTAGAACGATGTCTTCCCCAATCTACACAGACGTATAATTACGTGTCCCTCCTCTAGAAAATCTGTGTTTAAATAAATGGGAACATTAACCAAGGATGGCAAATTGGACGAAGAAATTAACATGCACTGCAACAAACCCTACAAAATGTTGGGTTGGCGCTCAGCACATATAATACTGTATGATGCAAGGCTCGGGGAAGTGGGAGGGAGAGGGGGGGGGGGGGGGTAACTTTGTTTAAGTGCATGCTAATAATAAAAGTAGTAGTATATAATAAAACTTATTAGGTACTCAGTAGCAAATACAATAATTTATTGAGAGGTAATATGAAATGTATAATAAACAAATAATGAAAAAAGAGAACGTCTGTACGGAAAAATTAGAAGTACTTAGGGCACTTGCAGATTTTCTAAAGGCTGGTGGGGTCAACCTCCCGCCACTCTAATATTATTATGGGGTCAGGGCCCCCCCCCCCCTCCACCCAACCATAAAAATAAGAGTAGAGGGCGCTCATTGTGTCGGGACCACTGGCTTACTTTGTTTACGTTACAGGATCAAAGGAGGAAGGGTCTTTTTTCAGCCTCACTTTGAACGATACTGTCGTTTAGTTTAAGGGTCAGACTGCTTGTCGTCAATGCTTGCTTCTGACTCGGAGTTAACACCCAGTAGTCTGGAAGAGGATCCAATCAACCAAGCAAACAAGCAAATCCTACTTAGCGTGGTCTTCCCAACCCAAATTCCTAATAATTCCATTTGTTGCCGTGCTCACTCACTTCAAACCTGAGCTCGATTGGTGCCTTTTTTTTCCCACACGAGAGCTCGGCTTATTGCTTCCTATTGATGACACAAAACGCTTGCTTCTATTCCTATTTTTTTTTTATTTCTTCTTTTTTCTTCTCTTTCTTTTTCTTTCTTCTTCTTCTCTATCTACTTATTCTTCTTCTTCTGCCTCTTTTTTCGGACGATTTGTCATCTACAGCATCAGAAATAGATCTACGAACAAGTTATGAGAAAACAAATATATTGAAGGTAGCAACAACAGATTATGTAGATGTCATGATAGAGAACCAACCAATAAAGTAACGGAACATTTTATCTATTTCGGTAGCAATTTTGACTTTGAGGAGATGCAGCGAAAAAAATTATGGTATGCATTGACAAAGCAACAGCAGTCTTTGAAGCCTCAACTAATTTTACAGCTCCAAGAAATACGCTTTAAGCCTGAACCGAACTGAACTGAACTGAATTTCTACCCCACCAGGACATCACACAAGCGATAAACACCCGATGACACAAAGTGCCACCATGTGGATGAGGATCGCCGTGGAGAGGTCCCAGAAACCGCGTTCAGACATTTGGCCATATATATGGCCTGCCTATATTGCGGCCCCTGGCAAAAGCCAGAGTAGGGCTTCAAATAACAAAAAATTACGTCCTAAAAAGGACGTAATGGTTGATCTAATTAAAAAAGCCTGAACCATGAATGTTCTTGTAATGTACGTACGTCATCAGGCAGCGAAAGTTGGAGAACTGACATATACGGAATGAAAGTTGAATGCATGCGAAAATAAATATCAGAAAAAAAATCGTGAACATAAAATGGAATGAATTTAAAATAGAGAGAAAGATCAGAGAAATGTCTGGACAAATACCTGTATCGACTGCGATAAGACAAATTATGTGGAGCTATATTGGGCACAGTCTACAACCAAACCAGCGAAGAATCACAGAAGTCATTGGAAGGGGAGACAAACGGACTGAAAAAATAAAACGTCAAATTGAAACATTAGGTAGAACATTACTACAAAAGGTAAAAACTCTGGACTCACTCCCATGTCAGAAATCTATATTTCTTCTTCCTCTTCTTCTTCTCCTTCTTCTCCTTATTATTATTATTATTATTATTATTATTATTATTATTATTATTATTATTATTATTATTATTATGCTTGTTCTCCTCGTCCTAATGTATCTCTGTATTTATCCGATTTCTCCTCATTGTTCTTCTCCCTATATCTGTTTAGCAGCGATCACATGGTTACTCATTTGCTGCACATAGTGTTCTTCGCCATATCTTCCATGCGTTTAACGTTCCCGCCTGTTAATTAGGTTCCCTGTCTATAGTTATTGCTTAGTTTAGACCTGGTGTCAGTGTCAGCATTCCCAGTGGTTCGGCTTGTCCCATCAGGTTTGCTCTGTGTCTGTTAAGCTTCATGAAAACGGTACCTGATTATTGTCAGAATTTTCTGAAAAATGTATTTTTATGGAAAGGCAACGAGTTATGGAACTTGCTATCCTCACCCCATTATAATTATGTCATTGATTTAATAACGACAAGGAATCAGACTTAAGGTTTAAGGTTTCGAACAACGGATCAACATCATGGCACTCGGGTAGTAACCCGTAAGTATTCAGTTCTGTCTTCTAACTCAAGTCTGAGTCAGAAGAAGCTCAGCACAGTTCACAGGCACTGTAGCGCAGGCGAGGTTCTGCATTACTTTCGGTAGATTTTTAATTACAAATTTTTGACCAAGCATCGCTGTTAGACTACTCTTTTCGATTTCCAACTGCCAGGGGATTTTTTTATGTGCGCAACAATGCACACGGGCGTCTGATCTCACTACCCAGAGACAAGGGGAAATTACTAGAAAGTCCACTTGAAAAAAACCTAGCCCTTACCGGGTATTGAACCCGACACCTCTAGCACTGAACGCGGACACCATGCATCGAGACCAGGCAGCCCCCGGCCTTAGACTATACATTTCAATGCCAGTGTCTGCATAAAGACAACGTATTTCAAACATTATTTTAGCATCGCATCCATGAATAACTGAATAGATAGGTACGTAGACAGACATAGTGAGAGTCAGAAAAAATCTGTCAGACACATATTCAGTCAGAGAAACACTCAAGCAAGCAGACAGACACAGCGAGAGAAAGACAGTCAAAGAGAAAATTAGATGTGATAGTAACGTACAGTTTGATGGTAATCGGACTGATAGGACAAAAATGAAAAAGATGGTGGGATATAAAGTAGCAAGGGAGGTGGATAGTCATAAATATTGCCATATAAACCGACAGAAGAGCAGACTAACAGACAGAAAAACGCATAAGCAGAAAATGAGACATAATGACAAATGAAAAGCAACAGGCAGCATGCGTGTGCCCTTGTGTTTATACCTGCTTTCAGTGGCTGGTTGTTTTGATAAACTCTCGGGTGACCTGGTCTTGTAAATGTGGTTACGACTATTTTTCATTTCCAAAGGAAGGGCAGCTAACATGCAACTGGTAATTTATTGGACGACTCTGTCTGTATTTGTGTATATGTCTGTGTGTATGCGTGTGCGTCTGTGCGTGCGGGTGTGCTTTTATGTCTGTATGTGGAGGCGCGCGCGTTTACTAGCGCTTCTGCACCGCTTCTGTTTACTTGTTCCACTTTTCTTTATGGGTTCCGGGGCCACATTATGGGAGTGGGGGGTGGGTGGGGGGGGGTAAAAAGACATGTCACGAAGTGGACGAACAGCCCGAATATTCCGTCGAAGCTCACCACCGGTGAACACCAGAAAGAAAAGAAGAAGACTTGTTCAACTAGGTTTCGTAACTCCTTCCCACTTCCTTCTTATTTCTAGA